GGATTTATGATATAGTTTAGAAACAGCTTTAAGGTTCAAGTGACTTGATGATGGCAGATCATTTAAGGAAGTTTTCAAATATGGGGTGTTTTGTGTTACAGAAAGAACTAGAGATGGTTGTTTTGTTTTATGGTTTTTAATGATTTTTAATTGTATTTGTTGCTTTCTGTGGGGTGCTTTGTGATATTTGTGTCGGTGAAGGGGGTATTGATAGTAATGAAGTTCAATTATTTGCTTACTTACAGTTTACACGTATTAGGCCTGAAGGTGGCAGCAGAGAAATACATAATGGTTAATTGAAATAATGGAGGTATAGCTGTTTGAATTATGTTATTGATATAATCATTACAGGAAGGTTAGATGAAAGTTTGGAAGGTGTCACATTGAAACAGTACATTATTTGGTTAATTTAGATGAAGGGGGTTTGTGCAGATGGTTTGGTAGTTTTTTCTAAGTGGTTGGTAAAAATGGTGAGTATGGAATTATAANTGTGCACACCAGATAATTGATTCACCAGATAATTGATTCACCAGATAATTGATTCACCAGATAATTGATTCACCAGATAATTGATTCACCAGATAATTGATTCACCAGATAACTGATTCACCAGATAATTGATTCACCAGATAAATGATTCACCAGATAATTGATTCGCCAGATAATTGATTCGCCAGATAATTAATTCACCAGATAATTGATTCACCAGATAATTGATTCGCCAGATAATTGATTCACCAGATAATTGATTCACCAGATAATTGATTCACCAGATAATTGATTCACCAGATAATTGATTCGCCAGATAATTAATTCACCAGATAATTGATTCACCAGATAATTGATTCGCCAGATAATTAATTCACCAGATAATTGATTCACTGGATAATTGTTTCACCAGATAATTTAGAGTTGGTTTGTTCGGTTAGTTTCACCACAACCAAAAAAGGTGGAGCTTTAAGAGTTTTACAACCATATGAAAAACCATAAAAACAAACAGGACTTATGTTAGACATGTTTATTACTAGAGGTTTCATTTTTTTAATCACTGGTGATTGTCAGGCAGATGAGAAGCAGCGTGACCTAAAACCTAAAAATAATTTAAGGCTGATGGTCCTCTATGAACAACAGGGATAATCAAAGTATAACAGTTGATGGTTAGGCTGATGGTCCTCTATGAACAACAGGGATAATCAAAGTATAACAGTTGATGGTTAGGCTGATGGTCCTCTCTTCATGTGATCAGTGTTGATC